CACTAAACTCCTTCTGATTTTTTGCCTCCGTAAACTAACATGGCTCTCCTCCTGCAATGTCTCCTCACCGAATTGATCCATGGAGAAAAATGTTCATTTTAACCTCCACACCTGTAGATTTCCCAATGAGATTCTCAACCTACGGAGCATAACATTTTGAAGCAGCTCTGATGGTTTGATGGTGACCAAAGCATCAAGGGGAATTAGCAGTTGAAGGTGACGGTTGGGGTAAAAAACCACAGCATAACTGTTCGAGTTGAAGGATTAATGAGACGAAAACGAGAGGCTAGGTATACAGGCGGGTGAATTATAAGCAACCCGATAATATCAGTCTCTGAGCCCGAAGAAATTGGTGAGAGAAGACGAGGAGACCCCCCCCCCAGCATCTATTTCAGGAAAGGGGGAAATGGCCGTTAGAAAACCACAGATAAAGTCTCACGTTCAGACAGCAGCCATCATTTCAAGATAGCAAAGGCAATCAGAATGGAAGAAAGCAGAATGCACAAGATGAAGCCGAGGGTAAAAATAGAAATTCTGGAAAGGGGACCTGAAAGGAGAAGAAGGAACCAGCTGGAAGTGGTGCCTGCAGGAGGAAAAGCTAGTGATGGGGTGAAAATACACAGAGCATCAGGGAGGGAGCGTTGTATTAAAAAGGATTATTGCAGGATCACACAGTCCCTGCTCTCCAAAGTTACGCTATTTCTCCTTGGGATCGCAAATGCCAGGGTTGAGTTCCGCCAGCCTCAAGGCTGGAAAGGGACAGCAGGAGATAACACGAGCAGGAAGCCCACGCGGCTTGCAGGTGTACTAACAAAGGAATGGAAATTCCCCAGCCACTGCCCAGGGAACCATAATCCTGCTCGAGCGCCAACGAAGGTAGAGGATGGCTGAGAAGGGAAACAAGGATACGGGAGGGTGGTGGCAGGAATTTCCAAAAAGGCTTGCTGTGCTGGAAGAAATGAGTCTGGGATCTTAATGGAGCGTGCCTTTGGGGAAGGGGTTACACAGCCATGGTTCACCAAGGCTGTGCTATGGGGTTTAAGTCTAGGGCAGTATTTCTCAACCTCGACAACATTAAGATGTGTAGATTCAACTCCCAGAGTTCAAATCTGGGAGCTGAAGTCTACACTTCTTAACATTGCCGAGGTTGAGAAACCCTGGTCTAGGCTACTGGACCAGACTTGGGGAGATCCCAGTGCAAGTCATCACTTAGACAGGCTCGTTGGGTGGCTTTGCCCAGGGGAACAGGGTCCTCTGTCCAGTCAAAAAACCAAACAGAAATACATGGCGCTCAGAAGGACTCCAGAAGAAATTCATCCCCAAATCACGACCAATAGCGGTTTGAAAGAAATCCTCCTGCTCCTGAAATTAAGGTAGAAAAACAGAAAGCCCCTTGGGCAGGAGACACAAGGCAAGGCAGATTTTTGGCATTCTTTTCTGGCCACTCAGAGAAAAGGATGGGAGTCAGGAAAGAATTTCCGGCAGGGACGGGATTTGGGGACAAGGTCAGGGCCTCTGTAGGATGGGTGTGGAGGCCAGATGGGTTGCGCATCCGGCTTCTGGGACAGAGAATCCTCATTCCTGGCATAGATACTGGGCAAAACTGGGTTATTTTTCTAGGGAAGGGAAGGGATGAGTGTGGAAGGTAGCAGGAAGACAGTCAGTGCTGGAATTGAATCTGGACACCAAGGACTGACTTTGCTTCCTACAGAAAATCCTATGGCACGCTTGGTTCTTTTTAGATGGTTCACTGACTTCTGTAAACCTTATAAGTTTATCTGGTACTTCAGCTGCAAATACTTTTACATAAGCTCAGCATGAATCAGAGAAGTTGGACGATAATTAGCCCATTGTGTATGATCTTTACCTGGTTTTGGTATAATTGCAACATGAACGTGGTTAAATGCCTCTGATAATATTCCCTTATCAAGTATCTCATCATACAATTGACAGAGTTTGGGCAGCAAAAGATCTATGAATGTTTTATACCATTGGAAGTCCATCCAATCCTGGTGTTTTACCACTTGTACTTGTACATAAACTCAGTAATCAGGGGAGGGAAGTCACTCCCCTCGAAGACCTCTTTCTAAACAAAATAAAGCTCGGGGAAGAACTGCCCCCCACCCTATAAAGTTCCCACCACTTAGAAGTGGGGGCTGACAAAGAACAAATCAGTTTTTACTTTCCCTGAAGGCTGAGCCTGTCCAGAGGAGCATATGAGAAGAACGACTGCATTTGCATTTATCCTTTAAATTTCGGTGATTTAGAATTGGGCTGTTTGATTTGCTTGGCGCTGATACACACCATTTGTTAACAAGCAGTGCCTGGCACCAAACTGTATTACTTTCCACTCTATCTTGAGATAAGAGTTGCCATGCCCACTCTCTCTTGAACAGGGCAGAGGAGGCACCAGCTCACCTCCCCAGGATGAAGGTGTACCACAAACCGATGAAGAAAGCATGAGAAGCTTCTGGTTCTCCTTTAGAACTTAAGTTGCTGGGTCTGTGAACATGCCCAACTGTTCTTCAGGAGCTTTCATGAGGCCAATTCTAGAACCCAACATTCTGGGGGAAAAAGATGGGAGGGAGGTCTAGATTTTCACTCAGTAACAGTGAACCTATTCTGTGAGAAGTATGCCCTGCACATTTCCCAACTGCCTACAACCTTGCCTTTTAAACGTGGTGAACAAAACGACACACCATTGTCCAAGGATAGTTGTATCCTAGGTTTGAATGAGATCTTGGTGGGATAACAAGCAATTTTATTTTTGATTCCCCATATGGAACTTTCTTCATTTCTAGCAGTTGCCCTGGGTCAATGTTTTCATGGTGGTACCCTTTGCCTACCCATCTCTTTCCTGGTTAGTTACTGTTGTCTGAGATCTCTTCAACTCAGAGGTGAAAAGTTTGGATTTGTATGTATTTATTGTACAAAGTACACCATTTTGGTCTTGTGGACACTGGATGCATTTGCTAATTTTTAAATAATTGTATTAAATTAAAAAAAAAGAACAGTAAAAACTAACAAGAACTAATATTAAGAAAAAGAATGAGAAGAAAAGAGAAATTAGGAAAAAAGGATAATAAAGATCAAAAGTGCAGAAAAAAAGAGAAGAGACCAAAGAAAAAAGAATTGACTTCCGACCCTCCTTGCAACAGATATAAATAACAATATACACCAAACTCTTGCTCTAAATATACCACACTGTTGTTCAGTCATTAAGTCGTGTCCGACTCTTCATGACCCCATGAACCATATCGCGCC